CGTGGATGCGAGCTGCGGATGGGCGACGGGGAACGATGGCCATGGGATTCAGCCATGGCGGCGCGGGTGCGGGAACACTACAAGGGTCACCGATGACGTGGGGCTGTGAGGGATAGGGTGGGAAAGGAGGTAGAGAGAGTGTGTTGTGCGTTTACTCGGTGACCAAGCCGAGGAGTAAATTTAGGCATTCGGCTCGGCGTGGAATAAAATATTTACTCCATTATAGGATTTAGGCTTTCGGCTAGGTTCCTGTTAGAGGAGTAAAACCGATTTTTTACTCATCTAACCAATTTTAGGGGACTGGAGAGCACTCAGGTGTGGTGCTTTAGCAAGCCCTGATGCATCTTTCTCTAAAAGCTATTTTTATTTATTTATCTCTAAGCTAGCATACAAACTGACCTAATTTGTATGAGGCGATACAGCTGAAATCAACCGATGATTCGAGCACTTAGCACAATGCACCACTTAATCTGACAAGCACAAGGCCGAGGGCATATGCATGTCTATTCTTATCAACAAAATAATTCAAATAATGTTATTTTTGACACACATAATTCATCATTTCAAAACCACTATTTATGAAGTTTGTTCAAAATTCAAATTGAAACATAACAAATGGTCAGAAATATCCAAAGTAAACATAACAAATGGTCTAAATCATCCGAACTAAAAACAACATGAATAAGTTTATTGACTAAGAAGTGACCAAATGCCCAATAAGATCATCACAAAGTTTTTCATGCCCCGCATGGTTTTCGATTTACCGTTGCATTTCAACAAACTTTTGAAATCATCTTTCACCCCTCTATGGCTCAATATATAAATTTTGTTCCCCTCATTCTCATAGCAAAAATCTTGCGGCCGTTCCCGCTCATCCTCTATGATCATATAATACAGGATCATGCATGCGGTCATGATGTGCCACTAAACCGTTTTGGTGTCAGAATCTTGCAGGGCCATCAACAATGACAAAGCGATCTTGTATGACCCCAAATATTAGTTTGACATACTTTTCACATGCTTCTTGACGTCTCATAGTGAATTCTCTCGAGGGTTTAATAGCTGAAATGCCTAATGGAGCTCAATCTCCACGGAGTCCTTTATTTGAAAACTTTAAAATTCAAAAAGTTAAGTTTTAAACATTTTTAGAAAAATACACACATACATATGTATGTATTCCACTTCCTCTGGCCCATATTACTTGTCCTAATTTTGTCTAGATACTGATGTATCTAACACTAAAACATGGATCAAAGGGACGTGAAGTATCTACTCCCGAGCTCAAATGCCCCCTCATGAACAATAAAATAAAAAAGTAAAAATATCAAAAATTCTGTATTTTTGTGGTAAATTTTGACAAATATTTTGTATGCTTGCAAAAATTCAGCACGAAATTACATTCTTGAAAGTTGTGGGAAAAAAATCAATGCTCCAGAAAATGATAATTTTGAAAACATTTTGGAGTGCTGTTTTTTCCATGACTCCCACGAATGTCTTTTCGTGTTTAAGTTTGTTAAGCATACACAACATTTCTCAAAGACTAACACAAAAAATTCAGAATTTTTGAACTTTTTTCTTTTAATTTTACTGTTTATCGGGTGCATTTGAGCTCGTGGTTAGAATAGGACTTTCGGGGTGGAAGGGAGTACTTGTGAATTTTCCTGATGAAATACTTTTTATGTGAGCACATAAAAGTGACAAAATCACGCACCGTCATAGTTTAAAAACCGAACCGGACCGTTGGTCGGACCGGCAAAAACCAAACCAGTGCTGGTGGTTATTTAAGCCTATCGGACCGTACGAACAATCGAACAGAAAAACCATTCAAATCGGCCGGTTTTTGTAAAAATCATCGATCTAGGCGGTTTAGATAAAACCGAAGAACGGTTCAATGTCGTTTCCAAAAAGGACGCGTCTAGGGAGCAGCCATGCGCTTGCTAGCGCTCCTCGGCTGTCGGCTATATTAGGAAAATTTATGCCCCATCGCTTGATTAGGAAAGTCTGCTTGATCCCTGATAAACTAAAAATGAAAAGCATCATCCAACGCACTTGCCTTCACGCTGGCCCAAGTTGTTTTTCATGTGCTCTGCCATGTGCCAGTAATAAAAAGCAAAAAAGGCAATTAATTGCATTCCAAAAAATTCAAAAGGCTATAACTTTCGAATTACATGTCGAAATTAAAATCCGTTTTCACTGTTGGAACCCTCGCGACGAGATCTTTAAAACTTATATATGTTTTGATGAACTTTTTTCATTGCCAACTGGTTGTACTAGATGGTGCAACTTTTATACTATGAGATGCAACTATTTTCTAAACCAACTTTTGTGCTACCACAATCAACTATAATACTGCTTGGTGCAATTTTAGTGCTACATGAACCAACTTCACATAATGAGCAACTTCATTTGTTGTCTCGTCCACCTGTCCACCT